CCACCAACCTCAGCTTGCAAACTCCTTGGAAGCTCCTCTTTTGAATGTGAAACAAGGCTACAGAAGAGATAGGATCATTATAGCAAATCTATCTGCGCACATCTGTAACAACGGGCAGGGTTCATGGAACTTGTGCCTTGCCTCTTTCACATTAGAGGGGTAATTTAACCACTAAAATTATCCTGCAGTATCACCAGAGCAGCCCCTACCTTCACAGTGAAGAGCGTGAAGGTTCTTTGCTCAATGGAATTTGATCAAACAAATGAAGTGCTTGATCTAATGACCTTTTGCTCATTATTTCAGCTAAATTAAGCTGCTTTTGCTTATTATTTAGAAACGGAGAGCTTTCCAAGCTAAACAAGACAACATTACCTGGCTTTTGCAAACCTATTGTCTTCCCTTTTCTCCTTCTCAAGCCTAAGAGCAGGAATAGAGCACTATGAGAACAAACAAAAAAACGTCTACAATCAACTGGGATAAACGCTCTTCACAGTAAATATCTGCATGCTCTTATTTTACTAGTTTAAATAATACACACATCGATGCCACATCAATGTTCAAAATAGCAGGTTGAAAGCTTTCATAGTTTTCCACGCTCCAGCCATGCAGTTGGCCTATTTAGGAGGCAAATCTGCTGCTAGCCAGGTATATTAGCTTCTAGTAAACTCAAGTCTGCCATTGCCTTCTATTTATAAAGGGAATTCTATTCTAATCCACAAATTCTGCAGCTGCTGCACAGCTAAATATTTCCCAAAGCATTTTATACAGGTGTAGATGCAAAAACAAGCATGTGAGACTACTTAGGGCCTAAAAGAATTTTTGTTTTATTTTTACTGAACTAATAGCTGTGAATATTCAATGGACTTTCAACCATTTAAGTAGTTAATAAAAAAAAAAAAAAAAAAAGAAAAAACAGATTAAACAAACTCATTTTGGTAAAACAAATACAAGTTTTACATTTATCTCACTCCATATTGGCTGCAAGCCCAAACTAATATGCTCCATAGCATACAGACTGATAACTGAAGGTTACACAAAGGACTGGCAACAACTCACTGGACAGGAGAAATGCTTTTTACTCTCTACTCATTCTGGTCTCAATTGTGGCATCTGCATCTTCTAGTTTTAATATTTTATTATTACTATTATTTAAATCTTCAACAGTATCTCGCCAACGGCACTATTTCACATTGTTACTACCAGTAGTCCCACGGTGCTTACATCTCAGAATTGGTAGACAGCTATAGCATCTACTTACTTCATTCTCATTTTTAAAATACTTAATTTAAAATAACAGAAATAACGTCCTGTGCAGAGACCTCCATCAGCACAGAACATGTGCAACAGCACTGAAGTTCCACTTAAATTTAAGTCTTACCCATCTAAGTTCTTATTCTTTTCTTGCCCCCTTCCCTTCTCTCCTTCCCACCTTTATTTTTTTTTTTTTTGAACTTCTATTGAATATATTTTAGATTTTTTTGTTCCCAACAAGGCTGTCAAACAGATAAAAACATAATCATTTCCAAATTATTAAATAAAACCAGTGTCAATACCAAAGAACTACTGAGCAATAAGTAATTTTTCTGCGATCAGCCGGAAACAGAAACTTCCACTGAGACTACAGGAGCTGGTAATGAACAGAAACAATGAAGTTAAAAAGAACGCGGGCATATTCCAAACGTTATGTTTTCTTTCATTCGGAAAACAAGCAGCCTGTTGCTTTTACAGTAGCACTCTGATTTTGATGTGTGCATGTATCTTGATGGTGGCCTCACAGCAGGCAGTTTTCAAGGGCAAAAAACCAAAGCCCTGATAAGACAAATGTGTGCTGAAGGCCAACAATCTACAATCTTTAGTAAAGTTGCTTGTGTCATTAATTACATTAGCTTTGAATTTAATCAGTTTTAAATACCTACAGGTACAAGCCTCATGTGCTTAACATAATGAAAAGACCAGAGGTGATAAAATACACAGCTAAAGCAGTTCCCGTAGATGTGTTCATGAAAGCCACTTAAATGCATCCTGACACAACTCAAAGCTTCAAGGAATTCAGCATTAAGAATGAAGAGAAGTAAAACAGGAATAGTTAAGACCTCAGCGTTCCAGATATAGTGATCTTCCAAGGTTTAGTGCAAACAGTTGATACTTGTGGGCTTGGGAAAAGGCATTGACTACACAATACTTAGCACAGAAATTATACATTTTACATCATCTCTAGCTTTAAGACTAAAGATACAATGCCAAATTCTCTTAAGCAAGTTAATTCCATTCACTTGCTCTACAGTAATCACGATTTTTCTGTTTTGTTGGTTTTTGTTTTGTTTTGTTTTTTCCAGGAAGAAATTGCACAAGCTTGGACTTCAATGAGAAATTCTTGGGGAAAAAAAAAACAAAAAACACCACCATTTGCCTAACTGAGGTTTAAACCAATCCAACAGCACATTAGACAACGCTTTGGATGACAGAATGGTTATAAAGCAAAAGAGAGGATCTCAACAGCACTGACTTTCATTATTCTAGCAGAAACCTTACAGTAACCTACCACAACAGGTGTCCAGCATAAACAAATCATAGAACTTCAATATGCACACAATGACTCATACTCACAAGTTTTATGAGTTACAACTCATCAACTGAGCCACAGTAGCTACTCAGGTTGAGTAACTACTTCATTGACCATGGCAAAAAGCAGTGATTTGACACAGTTTCAAAGCTTTTCTTCTAGGATGGCTATGTTGCTTTAAGCTAAACACACAGATTTCAGTGAATACCTAAAAACCATGATCAAGGGCATTACAATGTTGTACAAAATTATGGCAGCTTAAATAAAGTCTGAAATGTCTTTCAAGTACCAACAGATCATCCTTATCAAAAACACCAGTGACACTGCCATAACACTATGGAGACAGACCTTATTAAGTGTTAGCACTGATTAATTCAATAATGCTGAATGGAAAAATCACTTTGAATTACAAGCAACAGCTTCTGTTGTTTGTAAAATGTTCTTCATTAGAAGAATTCAGAGCCTTCATATCTTGTTCACCAAAGTGTCCAAAACTGGGAAACATATCTTTACAGTACACGGATTTAGGTTTCCCACTTACTCAAAACAACAGTTCCTAACGAATTTCTTTTCCATTCCTCTGGATTTTTAATAAAGCAGAAGTGAACGGCTAAAATTCAGAAAAAAAAAGTCATTATTTCAGAATGTTACACAAATAGTAGGATGTAAACAAACAAAAAGGACTCTGTAAATTTATCTCACCAAAAGACAAAAGAACAAAATGTAAAGTATAATCTTACAGCAACTATATCCAAAATGCAAGTAATTACAACATTAGACCTACTATAGCCATGTTTACAGGAAGAGAGTACAACCTCTACACAACCGATCTTTGAGACGATATTTGTCATTCCTGTATCCTAAACAGCCTCACTTTTTGTAATCATTATTTCTCTTTTTCGAGAGGGATCAGCAGGAACAAGGGTGAGGCAAGCTGGAGAAGGTCATTTTATAAGCCAAACACAGCAGCACAGCCCAGGCTTACAGAGGCCCATAGAGTGCCTCCCTCTTCGTGTTTCAGAACTGTCACTTCCTTACGTTGTTTTTCACCCCACATCGCTTCATAAAAGGTTCTGCTTCATGAATGACTGCCTTAATTCTTCACTTGAGCTTGTGAAGTTCGACCATTAAAAAAAGCATTACAAAAACGCATCTGCCAGACTAAGCTGATAAATCAAAGACGCATCAGACTATCTGCCTAAAGTACTGCTAAATCAAGAACATTCTGTACAGTATGTTCAAGTGCGTTTGAGCTCTTGATCCCATTTCATTTCAATAACTCAGAAAGACACACAGTTATTTTTATGGCACTAAACATCATCAGTAGAATTTTTACCCCAAAAGGTTCACTGTTCTGACATTTTAACTCTCGCTAATGCTAAAGCTGGGCTATCAGGACAATTAATCTGATTATTTCTACACTCCATGGTTGTTAGTAACGACAAAAAAAAAAAAAAAAAATACCAGAATGAAAACAAGAAAAGAAACACCAACTGGAGAAAGAAAACAGAAGCACTTAATCATCTTCATTTAAAAACAACATGGAAAAAAAATAAGGTAAAGCAGAGCAGTTACAGGTGAGGTAAGAAAAGACAGAGAGTACAGCCACCAAACCCAGCGATCCTTTGTCCTGGGCACGTCACAATAAATCCCCATCCACTCTGAACAGCACGCAGTGAAAGCGATCCATTCTCGCAGAGCAATTTCTGCAGCTACTATTTAAGACTCACTCCTTCGGAGCAGGTACGAATAAATAATTCAGCTGGAAAGACCTGTCAAGCAGCAGGGTTCACGCCACCGTACCTCCAGCAGCCCCATCCATCCATCCATCCAGCTAAGCTAAACCAGACGCCGGCCGCCCGCAGGACCGAAGCTGCATCACGATCTCGTTTTACACAGAGAGGACAACGGGGCCACGCGGGTTCGAGCCCGCCTGTCGCGGCCCCCATCGGCGACAGTTACAGCCCCAGACAGACGGAGCCACTGCCCACGTCCTTGCCACCGACCTGACGGGGTCTCCATGGGACTCCCGTGCATCCCCCTCGCGCCCAGCAAACCGCCCGGCTCCCCAAACCCCACCAAGGGACAGGAGCAGTGTCGGGGCCTCCCCTCTATCCTCTCCCCTCCCCTCCGAGGACTTTCCGGGTCGAGGCCATGCCCGCTGGGCCAACGCAGCTCACTCCTAAGCCCTTCTCCCCTCACCTCCCCCACAAGGCCGCTGTCCTCCCGCTTTACTCCTCTCTCCACAGCCGGGGCCCAGCCTCGCCCCTCAGCTCGCCCCAGCCCTGCCGGACTCCTCTTGCTCCTCAAGTGATCCCGTCGGACCGGCCGCTCCCCTCGACCGCCCGCACGACTCCCCCGGGAACGCTCCCGCCGCTCGAAGAACGGCTCGCCCCGGCTCCCGGACCCGCAGCCGGCCTCGCCGCAGGCTGCTCACCTGCATGGACGCCATGTTGGATCCTCCCCCTCCCACCGCGCCGCCAGCCCGCACCCTCACAGACGCAGCGCCGCGCGCCCGTCTCCCTCCCCGCCTTCGGCGGTCACGTGGCCGCAGAGCCGCGCATGCGCTGGGGGGAGGCGGTGCGGGCGGACGCCAAGGCTGAGTGGCGAGGAGGGCGGGCGGGTTTTGTCCTTGGTCTTGTTGCCCTCACCGCGTGGGAGGGGTGAAGAGCCGGCGCGCCCCGCTTGCAGCCGGCTGGCCCGTCCAGCAGGGTCCCGTCGGGGTGCCACGCTGTGCGGGGCCGTTGGGAAACGCCGGTTGAGCGGGGACGCGCGGCTGCGGGTAGCGCTTCCGCCTGAGGCGGGTTAGCAGCAAACGGCCGGTGGGATCGCGTTAACGCCGGGCGCCGCTCCGCTTGTGCTGTTGTGCTGACGTTGTTCCTAACGGAGGAAGAAGCTGCTCTTTACCTCCCGTGCAGCACTACCGCCTTTGGTTTTTTTGGGTTTTTTTTTGTTTGCTTTTTTCGTTCTTCCCCTGACGTTGCAGGGACAGACGTGCCCGAACTAGCAAGGGCGTATTTCACGTGGGAGCATTTCTGGATTGTTTTCATTTCCTGGAGTGAACTGTTGTGCCTTTGCGGTGGCTGTGTAGGTGAAAACAAACAAGCACCGCAGTCAACCTGCGCGCAGCCCAAAAAGCAAGCACTCTGTGGAAACACCTTCTATAGCCATTACTTCCACCTGAGTGTTTCAGACCTATCTGGTTCTCAAAATAGACGTACACAGTCCTTCTTTTGAAGACAACCCCGTGGGATTCCTGATGATAGCACACAAACATAAAGACTTAGTAGAAATGCTGGCTTTATAGCTACAGCCTCTGTCTCCCTGCTAACCTAGCTGTATGTTCCAGAGGCTGAGTCCACTCAGACCTGTACTTTGTGATGATGCAAAGAACCCTCTTGGGGCACCCCTCCACCACAGGCAGCGCCTGATTTTCCTTTCGAAAGTGGCCAAATGGGTGCAGATCTAATTAAATGGCTGAACAATAGTTCTCTGTTTATATTTGCCTTTGAAATTTACCACTTTAAGTTTAGGACTAAAGGTGGATCTGAGACATATGAGAGCCTGCTTACTTTCTGTAATCACATTATTTGGTGTGACCCAAGGTGTTGCTTCCAGCTTCACGTGTTACCTTCTGGCATGTTTTTATGTCTCCTCAACTTTGAGAATGGCTATCTGGAGAAAAACAGAAGCTCAGCACAATGTGGCATCGGATTCCAAATTGTTTCAGTGTCAGCAGTGTTACTGTTCGTAAAGCAAGCGTGCAAACTCCAGTGTTCTGCATAAAAGGACCAACAGAAGGCAGGAGGAGTATCATTGCTCCATGAGCTAGCTGCAGAAAGGAATGAGCCTATGGGCTTTGGAGGAATTTGCTGATGACAGAAATGAATATATGTGGATTTGAGTAGGAAATGGAACCATCCCAATGGAATTAAGGATAGAAGTAGTATTGCGATGTCAGCTGAATCCTATATGTTTTGCCCTCTAAATCCAACCTCAATTCTTAGTCATACATGGTAGGCCCCTGAAGCCCTGCAAGCTGGCATTGCTCTACTGCCTTCATTTAAGTGACATTGAAGTGTCAAAAAACACAGCATTGTGCTTTCTTAGAAGCTACTGCTGATATGTGCTGATGTGATCTCTCGATATGTTTTAGATCGCAGAGAATTTATTGCGTTCAGTAGACATAGAAGGTTTTTTTTCCCCTCACAGTTCTTCATAACTGTCTTGGGCAGTAACAATATTAAGTAGAACATTGCTGTTGCTGAAAATGTTTTACTAGATGTTGTTATTTTTGCATGATTCAAGCATATGTTTATCCTAAAATACATTTCTTAATGCCATATGCTACAAAGATAGCAAGAGCATCAAGTTTAAGCAATGGACATGTGTTCAGCTATAAACATTGACATATTGACTATTCTTGTTCATATAATCACAGGGAGACAAAACTGATTTGAATCCATTATATTCAGTTTCTTAATCTTGTTCTAGAAAACACTGATCAAGGACAGAAGTTATGAAGAGGCATAAAAGTGTATGTAACAACTGTAATCAATAGAAATATGTCTTCAGCTTGTAATAAAGATAAATAATCTCTGAGCAAGAAGTGGCTTTAGCAAAAGATCAGACCTTTTAACCATCTTTAAGTTCAAAGTTTTGTGGTTTTGGTTTTGTTTTTTTTTTTTTTTTTTTTTTTAATCACCAAAGCTTTTCGATGTTAAAAATAAAGACACCTCCTGCATTTTAAGCTAAAATATTGTTTACTGAAGTTATTTAATCTAGCAGCAAATCTCATTCCTCAGGATAACAAAAATGAGAAGCAAGGTTCAGGATCTGCCCTTCACAGAAATTATAAAGCAGAGATGGGCTATTTCCCACCCTATCTTAACCAAATGCTTATGAAACCATGCAGTTACTCTACAACTGAAACTTGTGACTAGAAGAATCCAAACATCATCCATAAACTTCTAGTTTGCTCTTACACAAAAGGTCTATTTTACACTACCCATCTTTGTTTTTTTCCAAGTGTCATGCGATTGACTGATACATTTGTGCAATCTCCTTACTTCATCATTATCACTGCAATAGGGGCAGCTGGAGAATTATCCCCTGCCAATACATCAGTAACCTGAATTGGATGCAGTATTATTAATAAATGTTTGTACAGTGCATAATGCTATAGGAATTTGAGCACAGCAAGAAAAAAAATATTATTAGCAGACTTTCAGGAAAAGTTTAATGAATACAAGTATTTTCTTCCTTTCAGTTTTGTCCCCAGCTTTGTGATGGCTCATATAATTCTTTGTTCAAAGTTACTCAGTAATCTAAACACCAAAAAGCCCCAAATCCTAATGTGGGTAGATTTCACATGGTGTTGGTTATAGTGTAATTTACTGTTCATTTTGTTGTTGACCCTTACTTATACAAAATATGAGAGAAAACACTTGTGCAGTTAACCCGTAATCTGTTGCAGCTGCAGAGATAGTCAATGCAGGAACTGAAAGATTTGTGGTTGGTTGTGTGAAAGAAAGTATTAGGGCTAGTGCAGCCTCATCCTGCATCAGCCAACTTTGTTTTTTTGCCAGAAGCTTCCTATATTGTGATCCCAGATCACAAACACAAAAACCTGTAGGGGTAAGAGGAGTTTAATGTGATATTCATTATTTCAGGATGTATTTTGCTCTGGTCTGATCAAATGCATGATGGTGACTCACACAAGTAATATATGTAGCGCAAATCATGAAAATTGCAACTATACCTCTTACTAAAAATATATCTGAAAATATTCATGAATTAGATTTAAAAATCCACTTTTCTATGTAGTTTGCATTACCTTGTGTTCACAGAAAAAAAAATGGCAATCGATATTCAGTCCTCATTTCTCAGGTAATTTTCTGACCTATCTAACCAGTTTTACAAAGGTTAGCTATTTTTATTGATCAGAGTTCTTTACATTCCATTCCCTCCATTATTGTTACCGATATTTATTCCTCTGCTTTCCCCTTTTCCCTATATCATTCTTCCTCCACTATAACAACACATACTTGGTTTCTTTTGTCTGAGCGCACTGTACGTTTTAGCCTTCCATCTTATCTCTTTCTCCCACAGAAGTTAGCTGCGCATTGACATCAACCTCCCTTTGTAGCTCCAGTGACATAGCAACCATAATCTGCGGTGCCAGGCGACTACATCTCAGGAGCACAGAGGACTACATACCTTGGAGGAATCGTGCCAACTTCTTCCACTGCCAAGCTCATGGGCACTGAGCTTAAAACGCCTCTGGAACAGAGATCTTCTGATAAACACAAGCTTGACGCACCTGCAGAAAGCACTGTCTGTGTCATACTAGCAAAAGCCATAGAATCAAACCAAAACAAAAGTATATCAAGAATACAAATGAACTGCATACATAGCTAAAAATGATTTTTGTTAGCTATTTTCAAGATGTCTTTTACCTTTGAAATCGTATTGCTGTTTTATTCTTTACTTATTTTCATCAATTGCTTCTTCCATTTTTATCTTAGCTGAGAATACTAAGGGGCACATTTACCACTTCTGTCTCAGGTCTTTCAAAGGAGCAAATGCAGGCAAAGGGAAAGTTTTTACCTTATTCCTAACTTGCTGCAAATGCAGCATCTTCAGAAGAGGGTGAGCCTGTTCTAAGATGTCATGTTTCCCTTTCTTCTACTGTGTAGGATTTAGCCATTTTGCAGCTACTGGACTATCTGTACCTTTCAGCTTAACCACTGCAAGACTGAACTCCTCTTATGACAGGCAGATAAGTGCTGCACAGCTACTCGCTCACTTCCCCTCAATGGGATGTGGAAGACAATCAGAAAGGTGAGAAGTCACGTATTCAATAAAAGATAGTTTAATAGGTAAAGCAAAAGCTGCATGCACAAGCAAAGCTAAATCAGGAATTCATTCCTAATTCCCACTGTCGTGCAGATGTTCAGCCACTTCCAGGAGAGCAAGGCTTCATCACACATAATCATTTTCCATCAGATCAGAAAAAGAATCTGTCCTATTCTGAGAACACACAGTTGTTGTAATTACTGCAAGGGAAGGATACAAGGCCAGGGAAAGGAGGGGAACTGTTTCAGCAGTATACTGTAATTAACACTTAATTGTCAAATCATGCTTTTGGCACCAGTACTCTTAGAAATCCTGTAAACTTATATATTTTAAAATACACATAGCTATGAAACTTAAATAATGAGGACAGCATAGGACCCATAATCGATTAAACAGATAAACAGATTAAATAGTGTGACATGATGTAATTATTAAATGTTCTTCCACATAAAAGCATCATTTTCCAGAGCTCTTGTAAGTGGAATGATTACTGCATCTATCACATACATGAGCTCAGACTCTACTCAGTGATAAGAAATACATTTAAGATTTAAATATAAATATTGCTTAGGTTTTTGTGTTATTTTATTGCTATTTTTATCTTTATTAAGGCTGTGAATTGAAAGCTTCCCAGGTAAGCCCAAGGGGTATTTGAA